TCCCACCATAAATAAATTAGGTGGAAGAAATATGTTGGGCGATAAAGGTCAACCATCAGTGTGACTATCTGAGGTAGCCGTGGTTTGGCAGATTAGTATTACTGACACTAGATGATGATTGAAAGTGAAATGGAAATCTGGATAGCGGAAAGGTTTGAACCGGTGGTCTCAGAGTTACCGGCCTACCGCTGTTTTGTCGTCCCGTTTCGACTGAATTCACCGAACTAAAGAATGCTAATATCTTATTGTTATTTTGTTACTGTAGATACTATGGGTTGTAAGTAGCTTATGAGAACCGACGAAATAATAATAAGGTGGGTTTATATTATTCTGTTTCAATGTTTGTTCTTGCTCCTTTAAGGTTAGTGAAAGGAAATATGTGTTAATAAAATCTTTCTGACTTGATGTGGCTACAGTTAATGCAAATTTATGTGTGACATCTGTGCACTTCATCAGAGAGAGAGAGAGAGAGAGAGAGGCTGCCTGTCCAAAACGTCAGCTGTTAGCAAAGCTTGGACAATGCTTTAAATAACTCTCCAATTTAAGATGCATATGACTGTAATCTAGATAAACAGTATTTTACTAAGAATGATGTCCCAACTAACTTTATTTTAGACTGCGCAGTAAAACGACAGCCTCGTAATCCCTAACATACTTCAGACATTGTCCTCCCAACTTCTTTTTGTTCACCATTAATTCAGGGACCATGAGAAGTGTTTGAAGCTGGAGAGAAGTTTATCAACTAAGTTAGATTCTCTCATGAACACAAAGTGAATCTTCAAAACAACTTTCGCATTGTATAGTACGAATTCAAGTTTGACTGACTGCTGAACGAATACCCACTAGGTATTATGACTGGTCTGAAGTACACGCAGACCAATGAACTTATTTCATGAGCTATATTAACATGCCAAACTACCGACAAACTTAACTGAACGCACAGTACTCTCCATCTTGATTCATATTAAACTTTTTGGTCTGCTTACAACTTGAACTCTTGTGAAATACAGAATGAAGTTACACCAAGAAAGCAGATAAAAGATAACAGAAAGGTAAATTGGTGCTGATATTTTTTCGATTGCTGGTATAGTGCATTCTAGAGGATCTGACATCTTTGAAACAAATAGGAAGTGTATCGCCCGATCTATAAAGCGATTGTGAGTATTTGGCTGTCTAGAGGGTCGACTTGAGATGGAGGCGTCTCAATGATATATATATATATATATATATATATATATATATATATATATATATATATATATATATATATATATATATATATATATAATTTGGCTTTGGAACATTTTTTCATCACTCAGAGACATATCTGGGTTAATTAACTTCGCTAGTCGATGACACTTATCGATGGTTGGACGTTAGAACGAACTGACTGGATCTGAAAAATTAGTACCACTGGGTTCGGGCAAAATAAGCAAGTAGCGAGGGATCTCTACAAGAGGCGAAATGGTCCAAATTCACTTAATATGAGATAGCTACAGGTACGCTGTTAATGTTATTACTCAAAAGTTAATTCGATCGTGGGTTCGTGGCTCGCTGGTTTAGGCAGTTGACTTTCGGTGTGTGGGTAGAGGGTTCAAGCACCACTCCAGGTAGTATCTATCACTAGACCTCACACAACAGGTGTGGTTCATTGTCTATGATATGAATGTCTACAAACTTAATAAGTAGATTTTGATTTTCCCTTTAGTCTGATCACCTAACCGTTTGTCTAGACATCGGCTTTTTTCTTGTTTCAACTGAAACGGAAAACTTACTCTAAGTGAATATTTGTCTGACTGATAAAATCATTCCAGATTCATGTTTAGATAAAATAGGTTTTGGATTAACTTTATACATAACACTTAGTCAGGTACTGATTTGTCTAAAACTATTGAGTAACAATAACTACAACATCATGTTGCTGAAGCAGTATTTATTCAAATCAGTAAATGATGAACAACTTGATCCCTTCTGAACGAAGACACATAATGGTTTTATATTACTGATATTATAAGGGGCAAATGTCAAGTCTAATATAAACCACCCCTTTTAAGTAGATTATACTAAGTCAAACTTTGATAGTAATTGTGGATATTGGCTGGCAGGGGAGTGCAGGACTCGTGTTACATCCCTTTTTGGACTAGTCAGTTGGATGTAAGTGATGCAGAACCAGTTGTTCAGAACACCAGAGTGATATCCGCCGGGTCAGTGCATTATGATAGCCGCTACTCATATAACGGAAGCAATTTCGAAGCATCCACACAAGAGACCTTATGTCAGTAGTGGTCGATCGATTGATGCAATCAACTGCGGGATATTATAAGCAATAACATGTATCAGACTTTCTTGGCAAGCTGTTTTTCTTTCAGGTATCGATGTTGTCTACATTACAGTCAATAACGTCAAGTTTCTCAGTTGCACACAACAAGATAAGCTACGAAAACACCAACTGCTGGATCAATTTACATTTCATTTCAATCAGTGTATGTTTCGTTACTGAATATTAGGAACATTGAATACTTTAGCTTTGAATTATTCATCAACCAATTTATTGAGCAAGTTTCTCTCTGTGTCTGTCTGTCTGGATAATGTGAACCGAATAGATACAGGAAGAGTTGTTAGTCAAGCTTTCGAAAATGGGGAATTCACCTCCACGATAAGTTTGATTATCGAACAAATGATAAATCACTATAAAATAAGTTGTATTTGGCGCCTTAAATCCAATTCACTAAACTATCTATCCATTCACTTACTGCCATTTTGATGAGTCTTTTTGCCTACAAGTAAGCTGAAAATGAACCTAAAATTTGCATCAAATAAAGTTAGGTAGTGATACACGAAGGTTTTACGTGATTCAATCTTTCTTTCTTAAGTGGAATTTATCTCATACAACAGTGGTGAGAAATTCTCCTATAACTGACAACTAATTAATTCAAACCATTTGGTTAAAATTGCAAATGAATAAAAATTAAACGTTACCTTCAGCAATATAAACTGTGCGTTACAGTTATTGTATGAAGCTTATCAAAATTGGTTGATTTTCCGACTTAAAATGTCATTTCACAGGCTTACTTATGAATTAAGTTTAATAGGCAATATTTATAAAACAGTTTTATTGATCTAATGTTGCTGTCTGCATTATTCCGTCGTTGAGTAAACCGAATTAAAACTATACCCGTCACATAATAAGTGGTTACCTTGATTCGGTAGTGTAGTGGAAAAAGCTCTTGGGTTTGAAGCGACTGGCCCTTAGTTTGAGTCCTATTAGGAACAACATCGCTCACTAGGAGACGGTACATTCAGCTGACGAGTCCCTAAGAAGATGAAACGCGCATCCTGCATTCCACTGCCAGCCACTGTCCATGATTAAGATTCATTGATATCTAATACTTCTGTTCTAAAAGTCAGATAGCTGAATACTTCTGGGGTAATGGTTTACCTTCTCAGTACCAGTCTAAATTACAGGATCACTGTTGTGGGTGGTTAATGACGCGGAAAGAAATACTATAGTTGTTCACATGCACATTTTCTTCCTGAAAGATTTTGGTTACCACCATCATGAAGGTGAATCATAAGGATTCTAAAGGGATTTTCATCATGAATCGACATCACGGATGGAATCACTGAAAATCAAAGAATGGTAGGCAACTGTTTCAATTCATGTTTGGATCTCTTCAGTCGTGCACCCCGACATCTTTATATGGAATTGATCTCAGGACTACCAGGTCTTGTGGTGATCCTATTATCACTCAGTTACTTGATTAGACCAAGTGAACCATTACAGCGTCATTACGACGTATTCCTTTGATAGCTGATTCAGTACTTCTATTCAAAGTAACATCCTTCTGATTGTTTACTAGCACTTTGAGACATGCTGTTCTCTGTGAATAAGTTTTCCATGTAACTGTTAGTAAAAATTTGCTGAGTGGTCATTAAGAAAATAAATAATCATCTTTTAGAGATAATATAAAGTGTAGGTGATGAGTTGTGGCACAATCCATCCGAGAAAGCCTTTCTGATCTCTAAATGTCTTAGATGTCAGTCATTTTGGAAAACACACCTACAAAGTGATCAAGCTATTCACTTCTTAAGATAACAAAGTTATATTAGGACTCTTGGTCTCTAATCTTAGAAAGGCTGAGCATGGGCGTAATTTCCAATTAGTTCTACGTTCTGTTTGCTTTTTCTTTTGCAATAATTTTATGAGTCATCTATATGGTGGTCTACAAAACTTGAGTTTAATATTCTGCAGTCACTAGAGTTACTTTTTCAGTAAGAAACCTAAGTACATTAATCGCAGAAATGTGCGGAGTAATCTGAAGAAGTTGATAGGATACTGATCTGTAAGAGTGTAACACACATTAAATAAGGAGTACGATTCGTATGCTCGAACTATTCAGGTGAATATTCGGGCTATGAGAAAGAAGGCATAGTTCATATCCACCAACTTGCATCACCTGTATGCCATTGGTTCATTTACTTAATGGATGTTAAGACATACTTTGAAGTACTTAGTCAAGATCTAGTCTAAAGTAGATTTACTTCCTAACCGCTGATTTGATAGCAGTTAATGGGTTATTGCTTTATGTAACAGTGTAAAGAATGACTAATGATGATACGAGATACATTAAGTGCACAGTCTTTAGCCATACATTTTTAGCTGAGAAAAGTAAATCAGGTGATTTAGATCAACTAATTTCTTATTCGTCCAAAATTAGCCAATTAAAAAGCAGCATATCTTTCTTTTCATTCGTCCTTAGGAAATGAACAACTAGTTAGCAATTATTGTGATCTATGCACACAAGTGATATTTATACTGCGCAGTACTCGGAGAACTGGTATACAAAATGAGTCATACATAGTTTCTTTCGTCCTACAGACATTTGCTCTTTATTTCATATGGATATTTAGACTTTATATTCCATTGGATGGTAACCCACGTGGATAGATAGTTTTCATCATCGTTTGTATATTCTTGATAATTCTTAATTTCATGGGCTATGCCTGGTCGGATTATTCACCTTGAACAAACAGAACTAGATCAACTTCAAACATATAAATGTAAATATTCAACGAAATCAAATGTATACTCTATTAAAAGTACATCTATAACACTATCAGGTGAGTGCATAAGAGCTTTTTGGTTAGTTTTGTTAATTCATGTGTCAGTAAAGTATTCTTTCTTGCTGTAGGGAATAAGCATTTTTCATTTGAATACGATCGTATAATAACTGTATCCGTCATTATGAATATTCATCAATGTAGATAGAGTACAGCTGTTCATGTCGTATTTTAAAAATATTTAGAAGTGATGTGTAGTGTAAAGGCTGTTGATGTTTTCAAATAATGTTTACTTTCGGTTAGATACTTTTAATGAAGATTGTTATGTGCTTTATGTATATGTCACAAAATACCAAAGTACTGATCGGTTTTGACTAAATTAGTATATACAGATGGAGCGAAGAGGTATTCTATGTACTAGATACTGTTCGCTTCATTTCGGCAGATATGCTGCATTCAAAAACCACCAGAAAGTTTCAAACCAACAGCTTGGCTTTTACTTAACACAGTCATAGAAAGTTAACACATTGTGTCATTGTCATGATAATCACTAGTATTTATTTATCATGGACTGATATCACTTGGAGAAACATTGGAAACCTGAGAGCACTGGACAGCTGTTTTGTCCACTCTGGGACTCCTCAGTAGTGTGCACCCATGGCTCCGCCAGGAGTCCCATACCAGGATGAAACAGCTATCCAGTGCTCCCAGGTCTCCAAGGTTCCTTCTACTAATGTCAGCCCATGATGAGCACCAACTTGAAATCAATAATTCCCCACAAACCCCCAAATTAAATCATCGGTCTATTGATTGTTAATTCCTATAGCTGAGAAGTAACTTTTGGTGATGTCGAGTCAACTGTTGTCTATGTGGTACTGCAAGTAACACGAAAACAGAATGTCTAACTAATCACTGTTTCCATGTTTGTGTTAAACTAGTCCAGTAAACTGTCTCTCAGAATCAGTTCTTTGTGGTTTCTGAAGCATGGTCTGGGTGGAAATGAGACTTTAAACACAATACTCAAACTGCGAAATATGACATCCTAGATCAATTGTACTCTAATGCTACACGAATTTGTTACCTTGTATTTGCTGCAAGGAAAAGATATGAAACTGTAGATTCCTTACATTGAAAATTAATAGCTTTTGTAGGATGTAAGCGTTATTATTTACCAAAGGTTAGAAGTTTTTAACTTCGAAAAGTGTTAAAGGTAGCATGGGTCATTGGTCGTATGGTTTCATGAATCTGTAGCTGCTGAGTTTGAATATACTCCTATTGTTTCAGTATAAACAGGTGGGGAATCTAATTAATCTTCGGGGTGACTTTAAAGGCCATTCTGGTGACTACTGTAACAACCAATTATATTTCGATATTCCAACCAGAAAGGTATTTTTTCATAGAATAGAGGAAGTTAATTAGTGTTATCACAGCAGTTGCTACAGTGGCTTTCAAAGTCACTTTAATCTTTGTAACCTCGGGTATCAATTTTCACACGATTACTCAGTTATTTTTCTTTTATCGAAACTTAAACCGGACCCTAGTGTTGTGTTTTTCAGAAAGAAAATAGTTTGTGTCCTAATATTGTTCGAAATTTTTAATTATAAATGTATATTTTATACGGTGTTTAACTGCTTAGATTATAACGTGTACATTCTGAATATCTGCTGTATTTTCTAGACTCATTGTCAGGAAATGCTCATTATCTTTCATACTTTGGATTTTATCGCAGTAGAAGAAAGTTGATTGACATATTTGTTATTAATTTTTTTGACTATGGATGGCTAATACTCTTACAGATGATACTAACATCAATCAACACTAATCATATCCACTGACTGACATCTGCAATTATCTCTGGGTTACATACCTGTCATGAAAAGTATTCTGATGCTCACTTTTAACTGAACTATTATCATCCAAGCTTTTTTTACATGATGATACAGGGGTGTATTCGTAGGCATGATTGAAAAAAAACGTTTTTGTATGGGTCGTTTCATTGTATAGCTGAGGAAATTTGTTGCTATAGTTGATTTATTAAAAGCAGTTTCCATCTACTTGTCGCACCAACAAACGGTGGGTCCGATCCTTTTGCTGAGTGACTTGAAATGTAGGCTAACTACTTATGACCCCTAATAGTTTACGTCAAGTAATTAATACTTTCTTGATCTGCTTATTCATCGTCGGGTTATTTTAATTTGATCTCCGGGATTTTCATTTAAGGTAAGCTGTCATAGTGGCTTGTACATTTTAACCTATGGTTGCAGGATCCAAATCCCACTTAACTTCCTCATGGTTCAGGTAGCTGAGTGCCACATCTAGTCACTTCATAATATGGGTCATAACCAAAGCTGAAGCATGCGCTGATTGCTTGCTAATATTTCATTCTGTTTTTTTATTCGTACCGAGCCCCACTTTATTCTAGATAAAAGTGGATAAACTATTTTCGCATAAACATTTATGGCATTAGTATAATTGCTTGTGTTATGCCGTCGTTGATTGAACCGAACTGGCATATTGGCTAGTGTGCGGATGCCTCGATATTACCCGTGTTCTAATTATAGTAATGATGAATCCCGGTGGGAACATCACCAGCTGACGAGTCCCGAATAGGACGAAATGCGCATCGTGGATTCCACTGCTAGCCACAATCCATCATTACTATAATTTATGGCATTGTTTGTATTTTCCAGTTACTGCTGGCTTTGTTTGTTGTGAGGATCTGTGCTCAGTGGTTAACTGTATTTTATGATATCGTGGAGTTAGTACACACTTAACTAACTTACCTTTGTGGACTGATTTTCAGGAAGTTCCCGGGAGCGATGTCTAGAAGACCGAGTATGCTACACACTGAACTTTTAGAATACGGAAAAAAGTCTATTTCTAGCGTGATCTACTGTAAGTAGGATTCTATGAACGTTAACGCTAAAAACAGTAGCGATCACAAATGTTGTGTAAATTTAGTTTCGCTCCCTCCAAGATTACACTTTATTGCTTGTGTTTGGTAGACATTTTGGGACTTTTGTGTATATCTCATTTCAAAGGACCGTCAGTTATTATTTACGTATTGATATACTTGAGGTAATATTCAACACGGACTGACATTAGTTGGGGGAACCATTGAAAATCTGGGAGCACTGGACAGCTGTTTTGTATTGATGTGTATATATGATATTTAGTTCTGTTCGTTCTTTCAACTATTGTTTTTTGACCTGGAACCATGTACCTTTTATACAACATTAGGTCATATTTGATAAATAGAGTCTATCCTCTGAAATAAAAGCTTAAATTGTGCATATTTTTCTGTGATTTATGAGACTGTTATCCCCCTCCATATTGGCGTATAAGGAATGAATTAATCTGAATCTGTATACCGTTATTACCATTACTGGTACTCATTTGGCACTTTCAGCTTAGTAACCACTTTATGCATGATGATTAAGTATGGTCACCCGTGGTGTATATGACCTCAGTGGGTGTCTGTAAATATTTGAACATACATCGTCTTTCTTCAATATCTGCCCACCTGTTTCTCTCAGGTCAGACTAATAAGTCTAGTAGGCATGGTAATGAGGTTAGTTTTGTCAGAATTTGTAGTAATAATGATATCACCAGATAACGAATTAGTGTGCACAACTTTTTGTTTGTTCGTCTATTTCCTTGTTTATTCATCGTCGGAACAGAGAGAATAGATACAGTGACTATCGTTTTGATTCATTTTAACGATAAAAAGGCTTGATAGTGTCATTATCTGATAATATCCTATTTCAATATGAGGCCAAAAATAAGTAGTAATCTGCTTAACAGCTTTTAACACTTACTGTGAATAATTTTGACAGATTTACCAGTAAAACTGATCACTTGATGCTAGGAACTGGAAAATATGACACAGGTTTCTAGCATATTGAATTTTCTTGCATTTTAGCAGCACCTCTGCAACTTAGTAAACCTCATGTCACTAGTCTGCAATTCACAGCATGTTCCATGACCAAAAGCTGTATGATTCATTAAAATCTCTTGGTGCCGTCTGCCTGGTTTATTTATTTTACACTTCAATATCCGCTTTTATACCAAGTAGTAGGGTTCATTACACCTTACCAGGTACCATCAATCCTCCGGTTTCTTAAGTGATGATTATTTAGCATGTTTTATTCATCTTAATATCTATTGGACATTCCTTTTAAGAATGCCTACGGACTAAAGTCAATCCGCCTGAAGTCATAGATGATACAGGTTAATAATCGAGAATTACACTTTTTATCTGTTCTAGGAATTCATCCACTGTGTTTGGTGCACTCAGTGCCTGAGTGGAGCTCGGGAACAGCAAGTCCGAGAAAACCAAGCAGGCTTTAGACCTGGCCGTGGATGTATCGACCAAATATTCACACTGCGCCAGGTCCTGGAGCATAGGCATGCTTACAGACGCCCGACAACAGCTGTATTTCTCGACGTGAAGGCGGCATTTGACTCCGTTGATCGAGAAGTCTTATGGCAATGTCTGTCACTGAAAGGCGTGCCTAGTAAGTACATCACCTTATTGAAAGCTCTCTACTCGAACACTTGTGGACATGTTAAAGCCTATGGTGAGTTGTCCAGGGAGCTATACTCATCAAGTGGTGTCCGTCAAGGATGCCCATTATCTCCATTCTGATTTAATTTTATCACAGATATTCTTATGGAGGTTTCCCTCTCGTCACCTAATTACACAAACGTTGACCCAATCACAGGTGAATTTTCTTTAGATCTAGAATATGCAGAAGACATAGTACTGTTAGGTGAAGACGCTGACAAGATGCAGAGTCTTCTGAACACTTTGAGTGGGAATTTGAGAATGTTTGGGATGCGATTTTCACCACCCAAATGCAAATTTTTGCTCCAGGACTGGTCTTCAACGGTACCGCGGCTAACAATAGAGAGTGAAGTGGTTGAGTGTGTTGACCACTTCACTTACCTGGGAAGTAGGATCAACCCTGGTGGGTTAGTTGCCGATGAAATCTCTGCACGGATACAAAAGGCTCGATTGGCTTTTGCCAATTTTCGCCACCTATGGTGCCGCCGTGATATCCGTTTGTCTATTAAGGGTCGCGTGTACTGCACAGCAGTCCGCTCTGTTCTACTGTATGGCTGTGAAACATGGCCATTGGAGGTGGAAGATATAAAAAGGCTTCAGGTGTTTGACCACCGTCGCCTTCGTAGTATAGGACGTATTCCGTGGTGTCACCACGTGAGTAATGCAGAAGTCAGGTGTAGAGTTTTAGGGAGAAGAGGTAAGTCAGTTGACGAGGTTGTGAACCTTCATCGACTGAGATGGTTGGGACACGTACTACGTATGCCTAGTCACCGATTGCCTCGTCACACAATGTTGGCTGAGGTGGGTCCAGGCTGGAAAAAGGCCCGAGGTGGCCAGACTAAAACATGGCACCAATGTATGAAGTCTCTGACTGTTGGTTTAAGCCATTTAGGACGATGCAGACTAGGTGGTTGGGGTCCACAGGACAAGAGGAACCAGTGGTTGGAGACCCTAGGTGATATGGCTCAGAACCGAAGTCAGTGGCGCAGATGTTTACACACATTATCCTCATCTTAACAACGCTATACCGAATCTCACCATTTTGTCACTCCTCTTTCCTTTCTTCTCGTACTTCATATTTCTTTTGACTGCATTCACTTATCTTCATCCTTCACCTCACTACCTTTCTACTTGATGAACTGACGTGAGGTGTGGCAACTCGAACCGTTACGCAGTAATGCCTGGTCCTATGTTGATAATGATGATGGTGCACTCAGTTATCATGTACAATGAAGATAAAAAGTGACTAATTTAGGTTTTGGAGATAATTTTGCCTCACGATGATTACTGAGATGTTCAATCAGAATACCGAATAAATATTACCAAATCCAGTTCTATTGCTAAAGGTCGTTTCATATGTTGTGACGTAATTTCTTCAGGTATATGTGTGAGCAGTATCTCTGATAATTTTTCCAGTTTGCATTTAGAAAAAAGTGAGCTTTTCCAAACTACCTGCTAAGTCAGTGGTAAAAATGGGATTAAGTAACCGCTTCAATTTCTCAGTGATCATTTTCTTTGGCGGGATCTATAACCAAGCTGAGAATATTGCTTTATCTCACTTAACATTCTCAAACATTTATCGAATCGTGTATACCTAAATCCGATGTTTGATCTTTGGTGCCATCAAAGCGCACATAAAAACGATTATGACCCTTCTCTTAAACTGAGACATACGTTCAGTGAAAACAGTATTATACTTGGCGTGAATTACAATTGTGATAGATTCACTTTTTTGTTTGACAAAAGCATTCAAATGCATATGTTCTGATAGCCTACCGAATTGTCATAACGTTTCTCACTAGGGTCACTTATATGCCTCTCTTATGATGTTGGCTGTGGCTAGCAGTAGAATACGCGTTTCGTCTTGGTTCAGACTCGTGCCAACACCCTATATATATATATATATATATATATATATATATATATATATATATATATATATATATATATTCGGGGACATCACGCGCCAGGCCCTCGACTGGAACCTAAATGATAAACGACGAGTTGGGCGTCCGAGATGAGGGTGATACGGAGGAGATGGTGTGAGGAAGAAATGAAAGGTTGTGGGCAGTGGTAGAGGCATGTTGAAAAGACTGCAGAGAGTAGAATGAAATGGAGACGTGCTACTGAAGCCGTATGTTCCACTAGGAACCCAAGAGAAAAATAAACAATAGTAAAATAATATATATATATATATATATATTGAATCCTTAGTTTCACTAGCCAGATTGGAGTTATCTAAGCACAGATTAGTTTTTTCACCCACCTGAATTCAAACTCATTGGTTAGTGGTTCTAGATGGATGCACTTGAAAGAATCTGACTTTCCAGGTTACATGTATTCACTCAGCTATATTAAGCTGACCGATAATCCGAAAGCCTTAAGAGTGAACAAAGAATATTCTTTTCGATAACTTCTCCTTCAGGTTCTACAGTTATGTGTACATATTGAGGAATTACCCATCAGCAATATAGAGATTCCACTTATTAGTTTGTTAATATTAATAATGATGATATACAGTTGAGGAAGTCAGTTGAGAAAAGTCTTGTGTGGACGTTTATGGTGCAATCAATTGTTACTAAGATTCAACTCAAAATGATTGACTGCCCAAATGTAGTACTATAAGGTGATAATTTAATAGAACAATAGGAAGGTGTTTGTGAAAAATAGATGAAATCAACTAAGAAGGACAAAATAAGTTCAACGAATTGGTCAAAATTATTCCAGGTTATGGGGAAGAAGGGGTATCTACAGTATGGAATTAGATTATTTGGAGCAAGATGGTAACGAATTTAGGTATCCCGAATTGGTTCATGATGATGGTAGAGGTAACACTTGCTTCTTTTGAGCACACAACTCGGGTTGTTCGATCCTGATTGAAGGATCCTAAGTCGAGTACATTTTGACAGGTTGATGGGAACGCGGTATAGAATGGAAAACGACTCAACCATATCCACTTTATGGTTCATTTCAACCAAGTGTGCTAATATGGAGTTGGCAATGGTATTACCACACGTTTACTTAACCACGTTGAGAGGTGGTCACTAGCACGGAAAATTAAATTCTTAGAGTAGCAGCCGACATAACTTGCTGCCCAGGAGCAGTCAAAGTGATAAACACGATACGAAGTGGCCAGTCTAGGTAATTCACCTCTCAGTCACGGTATCATCATAGTGAGTGTGAAGAAAGAAATTTGTTATTTATCAGCATTAAAAGTTCTCTTAATCGATTTGCCTAGTTTGTAAATTAATAGCTTACTGAGCACTACAACTCTAAATTGTACCCTAATGTACAGTGGTTTTTTGCTAGCCGTCGGAACATCCTTTCTTGACATTTTTGTAATCATATGTTTCTTTATGAACTTATCAGGGTAGCCATATGGGATAAGTGTGTTGCGAAAAGTCTCCAGTTTCTCTTCACATGTATCTTCTTGTTGAAGGAGTTATCGCAAAGAATATTCTTTGTTCACTCAAAGGTTTTTGCGTTGTGATGGGAATAACCAACAATCACCTGAGATTTTCAGTAACATATTTCAGAGTAAATTTTAGCACACTGATACTAAGATGATCGTATATTGCAGTTGTGTTTCATAGCTCAAACTGTGAAGTATCGGTTTGGTGATATGGAGACCAATGAACGGAATCCTGTAACCATCTACGCCTCCGTTTCAGCCACCATCTCTTTCTGTAAGTCAATCTTCTAGATCGAAACGATGCTAGACAGCCTAATCAATATACTTCGTTATCTTTGAATGGGTTTTCTGCATAAATCCCACTGCCAGCATAATTGATTTAGAATATGTAATTTAGTTATGTGAAATGTCAATACATTCAGTGATTTGTGGGTTATTTTTAAATCATTGGACCAATAAACACTTAGTAATCTAACAGTGACAAACTAAAGTCATATATAGTATGCCAGTCATTAATCAGTTCCCTTTACATCAACGTTATCTAGTGAAGTTTAGGATTACAGTTGTTTTAATCACTAGCTTTGTATGCCATTTTAGATTGATCACTTGACAAGTTGAAGCTTTTGTGCTGACTTCACTCATGCCCAACTTTTCTACATGGTAGTATATATTGATATCCCTTATGGGCATTCAAGTTAGTTTGCTCCTTCTCTTGTATACATACGTATGAACACTTAACCTATAAGTTTTTTATCTGAGTCTCGTCGTTCTCGTTATTTTTATAGGTTTTGTTTCACCTATTAGACAGTTGAGTTGAACCTTCCCCTCCGTTATGAGGTTTACATTTATGGTCTACGTATAGTTCGTGAATACTGAAGGTTATGTAATGAGTTTTTTGTTGAATAACCCACCTCTTATAATACTTATAATAACAGTTTGTTACTAGATTGACTACAAAAGGGTGCGCTTCAGTTAACATGACTTTAGATGTTAACATAAGGTAAAACGTATAATGTGTCATTTGAGATTTATATGGAATAAGTAGGTAACTCAGTCGATTTCATCAAACCTGAATGCATAACTGAAACATATCTGCACTCCTAATTTAATTGTCTCTTCACATTCGGAAAATATATTCTGTAATTAGTACAGTTATAAACTCTTAAAAATTTAACATGTGAACCTGTTGCCAGTTTGCCAAACTTACCAGTCATATTTGCTTGGGTGAAATATTTGAGTATCATATCTTTGCTGATAACAGTGGATTTTCTGTTTTGGCGTTTGCAGAAGGGGGATAAGGTTTGTTATCTTACGCTGTTATTTTTCTCTTCTGAAATTCGAGCAGACATCAGTGATCGTCGTCTTCAGTACAGTCACAAAACACACTTAATAATTTTCGAGGATTGTTTTCGATCAGAAATGAAAGTTTCATTGTCATTTCAGACATAACCCTCGTTAATTTAAGGAAAAGAAGAGATAGATTTTAAGTGAAGAGAATCAAATACTGTCGTGAAGTTTTTCCTCTGTGTACCATCAATGGATAAGTTAAAGAGCATCCAGCCTTGTTAGCATATGAATTAACAATTTCATGGTTAATGTGGGGGCAAAATTAGAATCATATCAGCTACTTTCGAAGTAATAATTCAATCCATATCATCTTATTTGCCAGTTTTATGTTCGTCTTATGAAGTTAATATCGTTCCAAGTGTCTTCGTCTGTCTAAGTTACGTTTTTAAATGTTGTAGTAAAACTACGTTACACTGTGATAGCTTACCTTGTACAGCTTAAAGAATCAGTCATCACATGCTGTGACTAGAAGTTGTGCTTCTGGTCGAAGCATAGGACGTGTAGGGTCATATGAAGTTGGATCTCTCTTACTAAAAAGCGTCATATTGACTTTGAATACTTACGATACTTGTATCTTTCTAAATTTGCATATTAACGTAGGAACCAACCTCCTTTTGAGCCATACATATGTTGGATCAGAACCTAGTATTATCGCTGGTTGTGCTGGTTGTTATTCAGAGAGAAACAAAGAAAGAGAGAGTTAACCTGATTAACACATCGTTTAACTTGTTTTTCATGCAACGTAACCAGCTTTCATAAACTTTAGATCTACACTATCTGTCAGGGGAGAGATAACTGTCTTACTGCTGATACAGCCCTAATTCACTTTTTACCCCTGAGTATCATGATTTATGAACAGTTGACATATATATATATATATATATATATATATATATATATATATATATATATATATATATATATATAATCTTTCATAATCTGTTTGTATGTGTTAGTGGTGTTACTTTTATATATTTTACTCTTACTATAGACCACCAACTGAATATTATAGTCCTTTTACGCATCAGTTGTATGCTCATTATTCCTTTTGTAGAAATTCCGGTGGTTGTTACACAACTGAATCAAATCGGTGTTTACACGAAAAATTGCCATCATTTAAATAATATGATATAACTGCTCAATGTCTTACATTCATGTGCCAAGCATTTTCATTTTTATGCTGTTGAACCACAATATTGGAAGGGAGTTGTTGACCAGTCGTTTGAACATTAGTTTGCCTGAACAATAACTTACCACTAGTGATGCTTCATGTGTAACTCAAGTGAAGTATTCTCCCATGGTTGCTTAGTGATGCAGACGATCTTTCATGTTTTTCGGACACATTTACAATGATTTCGTTATTCCGAAATCCCTTGATGAGTGAATGCATGAGCATGTTATACTGCGAACTGCTGAGGTGTCCAGCGCTCCCAGGTTTCCAACATTTCTCCAACTGATGTCAATCCATGATGAATACCAACCTGAAATCAACAAATAAATCCCCACAAACCTCAAAATTGAATTACGGATCGTTTAAAGTATATTGGCGGTAGTGTGACTGGTATGTATGTCATTTTTGCAGTCATAAGTTGAGCGTAGACTGGAAGTGCCACCTGACTCAATGATCAGGTGTAGTGAATATATACAGCTTGGGAAAAAATTAAGGTTGTATTGTGTCGAATGAGTGATCAGTACAAAGAATGGCATGAATTTACCAAAAGCGTAGAAACGGAGTGGATATTTCATCATGAAATGGTCAAAATGTAAAACAGTGGAGATAGTATAATAATAATAAGGATAATAATACATTGACTGATCACTTCAGAACAATCATTCCCATATTGTTTAGTCCTGAGTGCTGACCAAATTCTGTCGGTCGTTTTGCGATGTGGCCACCAAGCTAGAAGGCTCAGTATCCCAGTGCACTTTGATGGATGATTGAAGCCAATGGATAGGAAGCCCTGCTCGACGAAGGTTTCGTGCTTGTTGGCACTCGTCAGCAAGGTCCGTCTGCGACCTCGAAGGAACTGAAGTCCTTTGTGAAACTGGAACCCACATCATGCAGTGTTGCAGCCAGCGACGCTACCGCTGACCTATTTAGGCCGTGACTGACCTCCTGTAAGACTGAGTTATACGCACTGATTGAT